TTCCTCCAGTCTTAGGATGCTTGATGGATTCCCGATTGGGACAACTTGATTGATTCCCTAAATGTTGCACCAAGCACCTCCCGTCGCAGGAAAAGTGCAACAATGTTGAGCATCGCCTTCGGAGATGCAAAGAGGCTTAGCACCTTCATCTTGCGCCGCTTCGTTGACCCAATATGCTCAATTTCTTCAATCACTTCTACATCGGATAAGTATGTCAACAGGATGTGACTGTAATGTTCCCCATGAAGAGGTCTCGCCCCTACGCTTTCCTTGAGGAAAATCGAAGCAGGATGATCTATTTCAGAGAACAAGGAGACCTCCATGCTTGTCCGGTGATGGCCTATACTCTCCGACTTCTTCCGAGAGACTCTCTCAAAGCCGCTTTTCCGGTGATGTCCTATACTTGTACTTCGGTCACAATCAACTATGAATCAGTATCAGCATCGTCTGTAGTTTTTGCATCATGCGAAAATCCTGTATCTTCCACCGTTCTTCCACACAGGATAGACCTGTAGCATCCTCCGGCGAACGCACCCAGCCACAGAATAATAATAATAATCTACCCATTCAGGGGGTAAGTTCCGATGAGGGGGAGTGGGGGGAAGTTTGGTTGCATGGGGGAGGATTTAGTCCTTTAACTTTCTGGCTAGATTAGATGAGGGCTTCGACCTCAGTCCTGCACACCATGCGCCGGATCGGTAGAAATCACAGTGAATTCGGTCTGTTCCTCAGCAGATCCTCTGGCCAACAGGAGAATTTGAGTCCTCCTAGATCGGAGACAGGTGCTTTTCTTTCGGAGAGGTGTGCTGGTAGCTTGCCAGGCACTTTTTCTTGCGGAGTAGAACACATCCACGCCACCCACAGATAAGTCTGTACTGTTCTCGACATTTTTCCTGTAGTTACGAATCAAACCATCACCACAACCCATTCATTTGTTCGTGCGCCACCACGAGAAAGGAGGTTGCAACATTATCGCACTCTTTCGAGTTATATTGCTGTAGTCCGCTGACTTCTAATTGAAAACAAGCCAAGGATCATGGTATTGGAGCTAAAGGGTGTAATAAATTAGCAACGACCCCCTCCCTTAATATTTTCACAACAGAACTCCTAGAAACGGAACTCACATCACTAGAAGTCGGCTAGACGAATTGGATCTGATTTGGTTTGATTCACAGGTTATTTTTCTAAATATCAAATTCAATTCAATTCAAATCATCATCATATCTGTCGTGCCCTCCTCGTCCACCGTCGTTATCATTTGTTTCAACGAGCTAAAAAAAAGCGTCTTCTCCTCATACAACTTTTTTTAAAAAATTCCTTCTGGAACGACGGCCGAACGCGCCTACTCGGTGGAGACGACGAAGGCGCACCTAGCAGCTGCTTCATCTTATAAAGATGAGGCTAGAAGTGATATCCTTCTACTTAGCCTCTTCTTTTAAAACACTTACTATGGATTACTTTCATCTATGCATTTTTGCGCTTAGGCAATAACATCTGTCTAATTAAGTACTTACGACTAGTCAATTGGTACCTGTGCAGTTTCCCTCTGGCTGTCGTTATCATTTTCGTAAACATGCTTTAGAAATACTTATCTCCTCACGTGATTCAAAATTCCTTCTGGAACGACAGTCGAGTACGCCTTCTACGAGACGTTAGAAACGCACAGCACCATTCTCCAACATTCTTTTTTACATACTACTACACGTACAGGCACAACATGGCACAACCGATATTATTATTATTTTTCATTTTACTCGAGGAAATAGAGCCTAGTAGAGCCTAGGTTAAAAAGATGAAAAATAGATGAAATGAGATACAACTGTACTAACCCTGCTCTTGCAGTAAGAGAAGGGAAAGAGCGGCATCAGATCTGCTAGCAGAGGGTGTAGTTGTACATATTATTTTCCATATCATTAATCCAGGTAGAAGGGCCTACAGCCTAGGTAAAAAGAAAAAGCAGCATCAGTTGCATTTTTCATCAGAAGATTATCATTACTTAAATTGCATCCTTTCACCCACTCCATCTTGACGTCAATTCATTACTCCTTTAGGTCGTTTCTCTAGTGGTTTTCATAGCTGGAGCCCGCCTCGCTATATCGTCTCTAGACTTAGGAACTACACGCTGCATTGGGTGCTTACGTAGTCGTGGTATGCGACACAAGTACGCAAGTACACTGTAGAGTACTGAGTACACGAGTTGTCCATGAGTAAGCCTCAGTAGCTTGAGTAGCTTGAGTCCATGAGTAACCCTTCTAGGATAGGATAGGGCGCTTCGACTTCGCTGCCACATCAAGGTGACTGCTCCGCTTCAGCACGCACAGGAGTGCCCTGTGTACGCAAGCACAATTCCAGCAGGTTCCTCACGGGCGTAGTGATCAGCTTACTATAGTAGTTCCCTTCATGACGACGGTACTGAAAAAACACACGAGAGAAGACGACGAAAGAGCCAGAATCAATTCCAGAGTGCAAAGTGATGCCAAGTAAATCAAATCAACGATAAAAGATTAAAGCCAATGTCATTCTGTTCTTATCAACAGCTTATCAACAGTGTGGATTATGTTTACACTTGCAAACATGAGGCACGACTACCACTAATTTGCTGAGACGATGACTAGACTTCTATCGAGTTTCTCTATCTATCTGCAGATCGATCTTCTCTTCTAGCTTTCCCCCCGCTTCAAATTGCGTAGTAGTCGTTAACCCAAAGTTTTGCAGTGCACGAATGCCGTTTTTGTAATGCTGAGTATTTAATCATGCAAACTTCTGCTGTTTCGAGCAACAAAACCTTGATCTTTTTAGAACGAGGATCATTACCAAAAGCAACAACAGTAATACTTTTCCCTACAATATTCACGACCTCATTTTCTTACGCTCTTTATAGTGCTGATGTTACCTAGGGCAACGTTTACATTTTTACTACCTTTACATATTGAAGTCTCTATGTTTTTAATCCTAGTGTGTGAAACAATAGCTGATTAGGTAAGAGTATGACCAACCTCCTACATCGGATGTTGTACCGATCTAAAGCTCCCAACACTCTTTGCGCTTAGGAACAGACAGATCATCAAACACGACTTCTATTTTGATTCTAGTATTCCTTCGGTGTCAGAGCGACATGAAGGTGATTCATGTCGCTCCGACATTCGACTCCATAACTAATATTAGTTCAATTCCTCAGATGAATACACCCAGGAAGAGCATGGAGAAGTCTCAATTATCTACTTTGTGAAGAACTTTTGTGAATGTGAAAGAATTGAATCTGAAGAAATCTCATAATCTTACTACTCAGCCAAACAAGCCTAGATACAGTTTCATCATGAAGATCGCTCCTGTCAAGAACGCTTGCTTCATGACTACTGTAAATCCACTTTGTTCTCAATCCTAACATCGTACCTTTTATTTTTCCCAACATAATACCTTTTTGTCGTTTTTATTAAATCTTGAATACAGTCTTACATTCGTAATACCTCGCCATCCATTGCGTTTCATTTTCATCGAGATTAGAAATAGCTGCTCCTTGCATCTATCGCCGTGTGTTGTAGCAGACTCCCCTCTGTTGAAAGTTGCCGCCACTACGTTCCAACACACTCCTTGCAAACCCCTTGGAAACTTCAGCCTGGAGACCCCTTTCCAAGAGGCAGATCCATTCCTTGGAAGCTTCTGGCTTGAAGCTTCTGTGGGAATATAAGTCAGTTCCGGCACACAAGAAAAGATGACGTCGAAATACAGTGAACTACGTCTATTTCTAACTACCCTCGAGAAAAAAAAAAACGCATTGCAATTTTCATCAACGGACATTCATTTTTGAGTAGATTCAAAAAAGAGGCGAATTCACAGAGCAGCCGATAGATACTGAACCATTGTAGATGAGTGGTGACTCCTTTAAGTCATCTAGATGAAGTCTCAGTGGAGCCAAGACATTATCCATGGAGGAAGGATGCTTCACTCAATTTGCTCGACAACTTACTAGACAACTATAAAAGAGAGCTCTCACGACGCATCAAATTGAATTCATCAATACTACAAAGTAGAAATCCACCTTTTCTTCAATTCTTCCTGCACATCAAAGAAAGAATGCTTACTTTTATTTAATTCTAGTACCCACACATCAGTACTTCTTACAGAGAGCGCCACATGTTAGACAGTACTTCTACCAGGTAGCACTACCTAGATATAGTCCCTGCTCTAACTAACTAGTACTCCTGACAGATAGTACCTGTACTTGCAGATACAGTGCTACAACTTCTGTTAGATAGCAGCACTTCTGTCTTTTTAGATGTAGTACGTCGCTCTTGCAGGTAGAACTATAGAACTACTTCCTAAAGAGAGTTGCACTTCTTGTTACAGATAGTTGCAGCACATCTTAGATCCAGAGGAAATTCGACGAGGAGCCGTCGTCCCCTAGTGTGAAACATTCATAGGAATAACAAGAGGAAGTCCTAGGACTTCTAAGGACGTCAAATCCTCAGAATTTTCCGGACGTCTTCAGTTTTCCTACAACAGGAATATGAGACCCACAGAAGCACCTTTTCCCTTTCTACTGTAAGTAAACTAGAATACCCTTCCTAAAAGATCATCTCCACCAAGTTGAAATGCAATTTACATAGAATTGCTCTTCTACTACAACTTTGTAGATGCAGTCAACACACACCAGCTGCAGTTGCTCTGCTTTCTACATATTGCTTGGTGGGATAAACCTACCTCAAAATATCTTAGTACTTACAA